TCCTTTGAATAAGAAAGGTAAATAAAACACATTAACATACCTACTTTCTTCTTTCCACTTCTTATTTCTACATGGTAGCTCAGTGGTAAAGAATCCACCTGTGATGCAAGAGACACAGGTTCTTTCCTGGGTCAGGAAGATCCCCTGGAGAAGGAAATGGCAACCCACTCCTGTATTCTTGCCTCGGAAATCCCATGGACAGAGGAGCCTAGCGAACTAGAGTCCATGGGGTTGCAAAGAATCAGACAAAACTTAGTGACTAAACCACACTATCACCACCACTTCTTACCTGGGTTTTATTTTTATGAATACTGACCTTCTCAGTTTCTAAACTAATACATAGTGGGAGAAATGTGCACATTGTTGCATTAGCAATTTTACATTCAAGGAAGAGAAAGAGATACTTTTAAATTACAATCAATGTTTTCCCTATCATAAGCAAAGATAATAAAACATAAGTATTTACCCCCTTTAGAGGTAATTTCAAATTTTTCCATGAGGATTTAAGAATGAAGAAAGTTTAATAGAATGATAGGTATTCAAGCACAAGTGGATTTATTATAAGGGAAGGAAAAAGTTTAAAGTAAGTATATTATATAAAGAATTTCCCATTATATATTTAAAGGTAATGGTTCTTACCAGTATAATAATTTTATTAGTGAATATAAATTTTTCAGTCATACTCTCAAATTTGCTGAACAACCTGAGTGAAGAATTTAGAGATTCTGTTTGTATCAAGAAAAGGAAAATTTACTTGTATGCGTCCTACATATTGTGGGTCACCATGTTCTTAAAGTTGACAGTCAACATCTGCCCTTTCATCAATAGTACAATTGCTTATCTGCCCATAGTAATGTTATACTTCAATTAGATAGAAAATCCTGGAGAACAAGAGAACATCAGCCTTTCTGAAACGAGGTCTTACTAGAAATATATAACAAAAGAGTTGCATTTGTTTAACTAAATGTTCTGCATTAAATTTTTTAGATGACTGTTCTCCAATGTCACACCACCAGCCTAAATTGATCAGAACACAATTTGCTTTAATGAGTGATTTACGTAAAATTAAAAGCAGATTTGTCTTGCCTGTTCAGACTATCATTGAATTTCTTTTATATCTTGGGCATGCTATTATTTCTGTTTGCACTTCATTTGTTTATTCTGTAAAATAACATTAATATCTATCTTGATTATTTCAATAGAACTGTTGTGTGATTCAACTGAGATGGTACATTTGAAAGTTCTTCATGAAGAGAAAAAGTATCTACATTTACATTGTTACTGTAGAACCTATCTTTGTACTCAGGATAGAGTTATCCTTCAATGAATATCTGTAAATAAATGATTAAATCCCATCACTTATTAATTTCAGGAAGCTATCAAGTTCCAGAAGATGCAGAGTAGAGTCTGTCCCTTACTGTGCCACCAAACATCCTGGATTTTCAGATGTAAAACACAGAGATTGACCATTGTGTTTTCTTAGGATCTTTTTAGTTCCATTAAGCTATGATTCTGTATAATTAATAAATCTCAACTGAATTCTCTTTGTCTTTTTTTATCATTTACAAATGCTTTCTGCTGCAAGACAAAGAAAGCTTGACCACAGTGACAAAAAACAGGGTGTTCCTTTTCAGACATTATAAGAAATCTTGAGATTGGTGCTTGCTTGGTAAGCAAAAGCAGAGCATACATCTCTCTAAGTTTCTTGGCTCATAACATAGTGTCTCCTGTAACCATTATGCCCATAATCAAAGTTAGAATAATGCAGATTGAGTGGTTTCAGGGCCTCTGAATCATCTTGCTAGAAAAGAAACTGAAAGCTTTCATCAGATTTCTGTTTGTATCTCTTTAGCCATCTCTTTGACCATAACTTTGGCCATCCACCCCAATTTAAAATGAAATCTGAGTTAGGGAGTACTTGGCAGAACGCAGTTCTCAACAGAATCAGGAATCTATTAACAATCAGAAAACAGGATTGGGATACTGAGTACTTAACCAACAGTGCCCACCATGTTCCTCTACTTATGAGTTTATCTTTTCATGTTGTAATCCATTTGTGTATTTAATCATGCTTCTTATAGGCCAACTCCTACTGTCTTTTCATAATCTTTCTCAAATGGGATTTCTTCTGTGTGTTTCTTCCAACAGTTCAATCAGAATGAAATACTTACTCCAGGTGGCCTGTGTTCTGTAAATTTCTGTTGCCTGCTTTCACATAGCAAAGGCATTTTTGGAATGGACAAAATTAGGGAAATTAGCATCTTAGACTAAGAAGGAGCCTGGACAAAAGTTAATGACTAACAGACATTTATTAAACTGCATCAGCTCAGATAGTAAAGCATCTACCTGCAATGCAGGAGTCCTGGGTTTCACCCCTAGAGCGGGACTATTCCCTGGAGAAAGGAATGGCACCCCAGTCCAGTATTCTTGCCTGGAGAATCCCATGGACAGAGGAACCTGGTGGGCTACAGTCCATGGGGTCACAAAGAATCAGACAGGACTGAGCGACTAACACATCTTACCTACCCTACTTTTACTATTCTCATCTCCAAGGTTATTATTTACTCAAAATTAGATCAAGTCTGGTTATTAGCTCAAGTTATATTCTTAACTTCTAGGCTTAATAACTAGCTACTTTCAATACTACCAGAAATTCTGTGTTGTGGTGCTGTAGCTAAGAAGTGATTATATGACTGTCTTGTCTTTTAAGTATCACATACATAGCCATTTATAATATTAACAAAAAATGGTTGAGTGCTTAGTGAATACCTTTATGCTAAATGTTGTAAAAACCATAAAAGACTCAAACAAAAACAAAGAGATAAATTTACAAGCAAACAAAACAACAAAGTAGGTTGGAACACTGCAACTTAACCTTTTAGAGACTCAGCAAAGCCCTCTTGCAAATTCAGAGGCACTCAGTGATGAGCTAAATTGAAACCAGAAGTTAAATGCATAATTTGTTTAGCCTTTATATCGTTTCCCCCTGAGGCAATATAACAGGAGATATGAGGGGACATTCCTAATCAGTGTTTAAGGACAATGTTCAAAGTTTAAAATCCTAATCTAAGTTTGGTTAAGGCTTCTTTTGTGGCTCAGCTGGTAAAGAATCTGCCTGCAATGTGGGAGACCTGGGTTTGATCCCTGGCTTGGGAAGATCCCCCGGAGAAGGGAAAGGCTACCCACTCCAGTGTTCTGCCCTGGAGATTTCCATGGACTGTATAGTCCATGGGATCGCAAAAGGTTGGATACAACTGAGCAACTTTCACTTCACTCACTCAAGTTTGGTTCAGTTCAGGTCAGTTCAGTCACTCAGTTGTGTCCGACTCTTTGTGACCCCATAAATCACAGCATGCCAGGCCTCCCTATTTGAGTGGCTCTCAATATAGAACCAAAACTTATTCAATTTAATGTAATATGATCCTAGAGCAGCCATTCTTAGTAGGAATTCGAAAACAATAAGACTAGATTAATGATTACTGTCATATCATTTTGTTGTTTGTTGTTTAATTGCTAAGTCATGTCTGACCCTATGGACTGTAGCCCGCCAGGCTCCTCTGTCCATGGGATTCTCCAAGCAAGAATACTGGAATAGGTTGCCATTTCCTCTCCAGGGGATCTTCTCTACCCAAGGACTATTATTTTAAGTTATTCTAATTTTTTGCCTTGTCAATGTATTTTCCTCAGCAGTGCTATATCCCAAGAAGTGTTCAGTAGGAAGATACACTATTATACAGTATATTATCTTTCAATATGCATTTAGTGATTATAAAAGTTAAGATTTATTCATACAGGTTTTATTTAAAGGTAAATAACCTATTATTCACAATATGAAGTTGATATTAACAATTTGGAATTCAATCATAAAGATAGTTTATAGGGTCTATTCTCTAAGTGCTTTAAGCCATCAAATCTCAGTATAGCTTTTAAATTGAGTTTTACAGACTTAAGAAATTACTGGCTTCCAAAGATGATCTAGAAGAAATTAAAGCTAAAGATCCTGAGTTTCTTCTTCAAAGGAATGTCAAGGGATTTTTGTTAGGATTTTTGCTATATTTCAGTTCTCACTGTAATTATGAAAATGAACCAAATGAAACAGTACATTTTAAATTTTATATCAGATTAAATGAAAAGACTATAATGGAGACATTTCTGTAAAAGTTGTAGAGATAGTGAATTCTAAATGGGCAGCTGAAATCAATATCTGGTAACCAGTTCATTGAACTAAAAAAAAAAAAGAAAGAAACACACATCATTCAGAGATACTACCAGGAAGAAAGATAACATGATTATTTTTAAAAGCTTTAATCTAGTAAATATTCACATGTATATTAGTTTAAATAGAAATTATACCTCCCTGTGTATTTGAGATACAAATTAGGAAATATATTAAAATCTTTATTTTAGGCCATTACCAGAGAAGTTAAGGGATGACACCGTCAAGAGAGAACAAAAATGTCATAGATCAGGAGATCCGTATATAAAGAATCTTAAAATATAGACGAAGCCTTGATTTCTTCCTTTAGTTTACAATGCGTGAGCATAAAATTGTTTACACATCAACTGATTAGAAAACAAGTGGGTGTGTAATACAGTGCTAACTACAGAGCAGAGACTGTGCACATTGCATCATGTTTAAAAAGGAAATGGCTGCATGATGACATGGCTTTGCTTTATTTTCTCCACAAATGGTCCAATGCCAAGCAAAGCTGTGAAAACATGAACTGGAAATTTCATCACACTCTAGTGCCAAAATCATCTAACTCTTGTGGGTTTTTTTTTCCCCCCTTAACATTTGGTGCAAGTACAAACATATACATGGAGAAACTATATTGGGCCACATTATTTGCTTCTGTGATTTCTGGGAGGGAAAAAAAAAATGGGTTGTATTCATAATAAATGCATGCCCTAGCCTCCTGAAATCTGTCTGATGTATTTTCAAGGATCCACTTTCAAATTTATCACAGAATTTTAAAAGAGTCGTTTTGTTTGTAGCTTGTCGACCAGGTTTCTACAAGGCTTCAGACGGTCACATGAAGTGTGCGAAGTGTCCACCTCACAGTTCTGCTCACGAAGACGGTTCAGTGAACTGCAGGTGTGAAAACAATTACTTCCGAGCAGACAAAGACCTCCCATCCATGGCTTGTACCCGTGAGTAGTTTTGCTGCAACCCATCCTCCATGTTTGTTTTATTTACTTTTTTCTTCTTATTGTGTTTTGTTTTTGTTTTTCGCATTTGGCCCATTTCCTTCTGTTCTCCATGTGCAAATTAAAAGCTTTCTCTGCTTCACTCTTCATGCTTGGCTCACCACAAACACAACATTTATCACACAGAACGAATTCGTTTTTAAATCACTTCTTACAACAGGACCCCTAGAAAGGAAAAAAAAAAAAATTCTATATCTTGTTTTAGATCTTGCATTATTTTGACAGGGTAGGGGAGGTTATAGGCATGGGATTTGCGTTTTTACTTTTCTATTCCCTCTTGTTATGTGTTGGTCATAGGTCACAGGGAAAAAGAACTAAGATTTATAAAACTAATACTAAGGTTTTCATAACTATTCACAAGGGCATTGAATTTAGTAGTAGATTCCTTCCTTGGACTTTGTGAATGCATCTTCAACCTGGAGTCCAAACTCCCCCGTTCATAGGTTGGGGAGGACAGTCCTCTGGAATCCATGTGTCTATAATCTCCCAGATCCTCTAAGGACGAATTAAAAGTATAAAATAAAAGACAAGATGGTTATTTACCTCTTTCAGTTCCATTGTAAATTATCTATTTCCCTTGTAGTAGAAAACCAACGTGAGGCTCATTAATCTTTGTTGAACTACTTTGCAGGACCTCCATCTGCACCAAGAAATGTGATATCTAATATAAACGAGACCTCGGTTATCCTGGACTGGAGCTGGCCCCTGGACACAGGAGGCCGGAAAGATGTTACCTTCAACATCATATGTAAAAAATGTGGGTGGAATGTAAAACAGTGTGAGCCATGCAGTCCAAATGTCCGCTTCCTCCCTCGACAGTTTGGACTCACCAACACCACGGTGACAGTGACCGACCTCCTGGCACACACTAACTACACCTTTGAGATCGATGCCGTTAACGGGGTGTCAGAGCTGAGCTCACCACCAAGGCAGTTTGCTGCAGTCAGCATCACGACTAACCAGGCTGGTGAGTACATGCTGGGCGCTTCCTCTTCTGCCTTCTCAGAGCCAAGTAACAGTTTCAACAGAAAAGAGTGGAAGAAAGGACAGGCAGAAAAAGATGTGAAAAGGATATTCTATCACTTTTGGACAGTTATGGTACATTAACTAGCTCAATTTCATTCTTCAGAGTGAAAATAAATCATATTTGTTACATGATTTTAAACTAGTTTAATCCACTGCTTAACAATTTGAAAGCTTTTTAAATATTTGGAGCTCTGGAGATAGTACTTGTGGGGCTCCTTGCAACGTTTCCATATTTTCAAGAATTAAACAGAACATTGGCTCAAGCTTGGAAGAGCATATACAAGATATTTAAAGCTATAAATATCTTTAACTTAGTTGTAATTTTATCAGATCTGTGTATAGTTGATCAGTTATTTTATGCTCCCCAGAAGCTCTGAGTAGTATAGATCAGACAGTTAAAACTCTCTGATTAATTAAAAGGAAGAAAACAAATCCATTTTATTTAATAGGCACAATTTGTATCTTAAAATTAAAAATGTGGAATTTGAGGAGAAACTGTTAAAAAGAGATCTTGCTGGAAAACAGTTTTAATCACTGATATAAAAAATTTCCAGGTATACATTTTTTGGTGATTTCACCAACTGTATTTTCCTTTGACAATCTTTTCCTAATCAAAAAGAATAGCTATACTGCCCGATCATAAGCAAAGGGCTTTTAATGTAGAATAGAAAAATTGAGCACACAAATGTCTCACTTTTTCCTTATATCCACAACATATCTCTTTTCTTTACAGTTAGTAAATCCTGTAAATTTACTCTTTAATTAAATCTTCGATCACTCTTTAAATCTTTGATCACTCTTTAAATCTTCTTTTTGTGATTTTATTTATTATGGTTTTTTTAACAGTATGGTGTCCAGAATTGTTGACGGGGTTTTAGTTGTGATTCTCTCAAACATATAGAAGAGTTACACTTTGTAGATATACAGAGATTCACCAGTGATGTCCCTTTAAAACAAGGCAATCATTTATCAACTATGATAACTAGGAAGAATGAACAAAATGAAATCAACAAAGCTTGTGCAAAATTAAGCTGATAGATATTTATTGTGCATAACTGTTGCCATAAGATAGCATAATTAGAGATACATTTCAAGCAATTCAATTCAGAGATATTATTGTATAATTTTTATGCAAGCAAAGAAACATTGGAGCCAAAATGGGGGGAAAGGAAGAAAAAGGGTGGCACTCTGAGGATACTTCAACCAGAACTACAGACCCTCATGTCTGCTCCCAGGGGCACTCTCCCTGAGCTGGAAGTCAGGGTTGAATGTAAACTCAGCTTCTTTTCTGCATTTGGCTTAAATTATGGAAGTCCCCCAGCTCTCAAGCAAGATTTGTTCTTTGCTTTGAAGATATGAATACTGAATGTCAGAAGGAATGAGAAAAGAAAGATGACTACATTTTATCAGCTAGAAGAGGTCTTAAAGCAGCCAAATAACTAGCCAGGGAACTCGTCACTTTCTTTCACTTGTCTGACTCAGGGAATTTAGCTAAACTACCAAAGTACAAAAGTAGTATATCATCAGGATTAATAGCCAGCAAGTATGCACGAGTATGACTTTGCTGGTGGGTAAAATTGTGTACTTATGTCCACACTGGTTAGAAGCAGGGACAGTTACTTCTGTAGGTGAGCATAGAAATGCATCTGTACTTGTTAATTCCTCAAGTACCTTGAGAGAGCCCCTAAACCCAATATATCAGGGCCCCCATTTTCTCACCCCATAATCTAGCAATCAAGGGATAAATCTTGGCCTTAGAGGCATCTCTATATCAGTACCTCAGGTCCCCCTTCTTCCTCTCCCTTAATCCAGCAACCAAAATGATAAATCCCGGCAGCAGAGAGGCCTCCAGATCCCTGTGCTGAAACTCTTCCAACTCGAAGGCTCCGTGTCCCTGCCATGCCAGTAGACAGGTGTTTTGAATATAACCCCTGGCAGAGTCCATGTTTAAATGTGTCTCTTTCTACTTCTAAACCCCTCTTTTGTTCCCACATTTTTTCTAGTCTCCTACATTGATGAAATTCTTATAATATTACATTGTCTTATGGTGATAAATAAAGTTTATTTGTGGAAAAGACATGACTTTTTAATCAAGTGCACTTAATCATTATTTTAATCTTCCTTACTGAATTTGTAATCTCTCCCACTAGAAGGTAGATCTCAGATCAAGCAACATACGCTTTTGTTTTGCTTCAGTTAGTGATATTTAAACTTTGTAACTAATAATATTTAAAGACTTGTAACTTAGGTTTATTTAACTGTCCTCCATGAGAGAAAAAATAGATGAGTAATGTTGTTGCTATGTATCACATGATTACAGCTTCTCATATTCAATGAATGCAGGAATTTTAAGAAATTATAATTATGTGGCAAATGGCTTTCCTGAATCCCATATTTTACTCTGATTTACTACCTTGTTTAAAATAGGAGCATCAATCTGTGTTATAATTATCTCCCAAGTCAAACAGAAATGTATAAAAACAAGCAAGCGCTCCCTGCTTCCTATCTTATCATTGACCTCTGGCTTTCTGACAATGCATTTATCAGGAAACTAATAGTTCCAGATATTTACAGTGAATGAATCTACGTAAAGTGGCAACCAAAAGCAGGCCAAGACTTTAAAAAATAAATGGGGTTGATACTTTGGCCCTCCCAGTTACAAATCACTGGGTAAGACAAAGATTCAACAGGAATGAAATCAGTTACTTTTCCTAACCCCACTCTCATTTTTCAGAAAAATCACAAATATGTCTACAACATGTACCATGAGGCATTGTATATATTTATTTCTGATAGTCTGTGTCATTTTTGTGCTTGGGTAAGAAGAGGTCTTTGTTCCATCGTTAAATCCCTACGGGGAGATATATAAGCAAGATTAGAAGCAATGCCAGTTCTCCAGAGTGTTTCATTGTTTTGCTTTATTTTTGCTCTTGTGAAGGTTAATGGACTTGTAGCCCTGAGAAATGAGCTCCCTAACTCTAGAAAGATATGGCTATGACAGCTATGATGCCTGGTGTTTAAATTCCTCCTATCCTCTCTATCTCTGACATGGCTATAAAGGGGAAATGTGAATGTGTCCCTTTTAATTTAGTTTGTGAGATTGAATTTGTTGATTTTTCTCTTGATTACATTGTAAATGCCATGTGATGCCCACACGATAAGGCACCTTCTAAATTGTAGAGGATTATGTTGTAAATTCGACATGAGTTCCCAGCTCTTAATACTTTCACAAAGTATGTCAGTGAGATAAAAAGCATGGTCTCTACATAAAGATTATACCTGTGAATCCATCACTCAAACATGCACAGAAAGAACTGCAGATTACAGAACAAAAATCTGTAAAGTTATACCTTGGGGTAAATTGCTATTACTTTTTACTTCTTTGAATGAGTGTATTTACCTTTCAGTTCTGGAAAAGTCATTCCACTAGTGGAATATTTGTCTGTTTATTCTCAACTTGCATCATAGAACCTGCCCCTTGCCCACTATCCTATAGCATGTAACAATCTCAGACAAGAAGAGGGGACACTAAAGAGAATATACTGGCTTTCAAGTTTTGAGATCCACCTTACCCCCATTTTGTAAACACTGAGATCCAAGAAGCTTTTTCAATTTTTTAATCAAGCTATCAAACTTCTACTTAAGGCTTCCAAATCCAACTCCAGTTTCAACTTCATTCTCATGTTCTTTCTGTCATTCTATAATTCATGCCATATAGCTACAAAAAGAAATGCTGTCTTTGAGAGAGGGGGGGACTTTCCTAGGAATATCTGCCATAACCTATGCCACCTACAGTAAACTTAGTCTTTGCTTCTCAGTCATTTATCACAGAGTTTCTTAGGGGTATTCTGCAACAGAACTTATTTATCATCTCCATTCTTCCCCAAATTTAATCTTATCCCTTACTCCCTCATTCTACACAGATGATTTTTTCCCTCTGAGATATTGTGATTTATAGCAAGAAATATATATTTGGTCTTAGTCCCAATTTATGGCACAGAACTCCTAAAACTCTTGGAATTTCCTAAGTGATAAGAGCAATAAAGGGTATTTTGTTATACTTTAAAAACCCCTTTCAGTCATAGTTGAGTTTACATTAATAAGGTGAAATTTGGAAGTTCACTTTGGAAAGCCCCTAAGGGTGGTGGCTATTTGCCAGGGGAACTGACCATGTGATTAGAGAGTTGGAACTTTTAGCCACTCCACTCCTCAACTTTGCCCTCTGAGTAGGGTGGAGGGGCTTATTGTTGTTCAGATGCTAGGTCATGTCCAGCTCTTTGGACTGTTGCACCCCATGAACTGTAACATTCCAGGCTCCTTTATCCTCTACCATCTCCTGGAGTTTGTTCAAATTCATGTCCATTGAGTTGGTGATGCTACCTGACCATCTCATCCTTTGCCTCCCCCTTCTCCTTTTGCCTTCAGTCTTTCCCAGGAGCAAGATCTTTTCCAATAAGTTGGCTCTTCGCATCAGCTGGCCAAAGTATTGGAGCTTCAGCTTCAGCATCAGTCCTTCCAAGGAATATTCAGGGTTGATTTCCTTTAGGATTGACTGGTTTTATCTCTGTTACAGTCCAAGGGAGGGCCAGAGATAGAGTTTAGTCATCACTGGTCAATGAGGTAATCAATCATGCCTATGTAATGAAGCCTCCTTAAAAACTCAAAGAACATGGTTCAGAGAATTTCTGGGTAGATATGTTGTTAGGTAACATGGCTGGAGAAAATTTTGAAATTATCTGCCCAGTACCTTGCCCTGTTCATCTCTTCATCTGGCGGTCCCCAAGTTGCATTCCTTTTTGTAATAAAGTGTAAATCTAGGAGGTAAAATGTTTTCCTAAGTTCTGTGAGCTGCTCTAGTAAATTAATTGAACATTAATATTGGGTCATGGAAACCTCTGATTTATACCTAGTGGGCCAAAAGCACAATAAAATCTAGACTTGATATTAGTATCTGAAAGGAAGTTTGGGGAGATCTTGTAGGACTAAAGCCCTTAACCTGTGAAGCAAACTCCGGGTATTTAGTGTCAGAATTGAAATTAAATCATAGGACACACAACTGGTGTTGCAAGATTGCTTGGTGT